GGGAAGGGGGGGAAGGGGAAAGACAGAGTGAGAGGCAGGGAGCGAGGCAGGGAATGGGAGTTTGGCATGGTATTGCGAAGTAGGAGGTAGGGGACGCAAAGGGAAAACACACAAACAAAAGGAGGTAGGGGACGAAAAGGGAAAACACACTCCTAATGTACGACGACAAAACAGAAGAGTTACACACACAACAAAGCACGCCCATGACCGACCTGGATGTTGCGGAATACGTTATCTCTGCCGTACCAACCGCCGTGGTCCAGTAACTGCCGAAGCAGCTCAATGGGCGGCTGGGCGCCGTACACCTCCCGCTGTTGTAGGGGGGGGAGGGGGAGGGGGGAAGTTATGGAATTGTCAAACGACCAGCTGCCGTACGAGTCCCATGCCGCTTTGACACGCAACTGCTCTCCTTTGCTACCACCTTCTTGAAGACGTGTACATCGGGGCCGTGTCGCGTACCACCTCACGTACCTGCCTGCCTGCCAGTAGCAGTAGCAGTAGTAGTAACCTTTGCTAGTAGTGGCAACCTAGTGACTAGAAATAATGTAAACCGGATGTCACTGCCAGCTAGCTGTGGCTAGCTAAAAACATTGCTTTTGCCGCTTTATCCAGCACTAAATGCAACCTAAATGCAACTGAGGCGTTCAGCCCCCGAAGAAACAGTGTATATATATATCCCCGTTACACCTCAACATACATACTCAACAAGATACAGTCATACATACATACACACATACACACATACACACACCTGCGGCATGTTAAGGTCGTCCACAAAGACCACTCCTCTACGGCCACCCGGTGGGCCGTACGTTCCCTGCGTCGTACAAGTACGGCAGTACAGTTGCATTTGCAGCCGGAATAGAGATGTGTGTGTTGGGGGGACTGGGGAGCCAGGGGACTGCAGGCTGCTCTCTAAAACAGATAATTAAACAGATAATTAAAGAGAGGACGGATTTTTCGGAATGTGGATCCAATTCCGAGCTCCGGCTCTATGGCGAAGGTGCCGTACACATGTACGGCCTCCATGTACTCACCCTGCGCCGCTTATCCAGTTTGGCATCGACCAGCGCCTGCCGGCCGGGTTGTGATGTGGCGAGTGGTTGGCGGGGACGGTGGGGCGGAAGGGGGAAAGGGGGGAAAAAAGGGGGGAGGGGCTTAAGAGGTAATTTTCGGAACCTGAGACGATGACCGGTTTCCACAACTCCCTTTTCACGAAGATACGTCTACTAGTACTACTGGTACCACCAGTTGTACGGCATATCTTCTTCTTCGGTACAGCAACACCCTTGTGTTCGACATCACCAGCTGGGGCGACTACTGCTACTGCTACTGCTACTACTACTACTACTGCTACTGCTACTCCTACTACTACTACTACTGCTACTGCTACTGCTACTCCTACTACTACTGCTACTCCTACTACTACTGCTACTCCTACTACTACTGCTACTGCTACTACTACTGCTACTACTACTTCTACTACTACTGCTACTACTACTTCTACTACTACTACTACTTCTACTTCTACTACTACTGCTATTACTACTTCTACTTCTACTTCTACTACTACTGCTACTGCTACTACTACTGCTACTACTACTGCTACTACTACTTCTACTACTACTGCTACTCCTACTACTCCTACTACTACTCCTACTGCTACTCCTACTCCTACTGCTACTGCTACTACTACTGCTACTACTACTTCTACTACTACTACTACTTCTACTTCTACTACTACTGCTACTACTACTTCTACTTCTACTACTACTGCTACTGCTACTACTACTGCTACTACTACTACTACTTCTACTTCTACTACTACTGCTACTGCTACTACTACTTCTACTACTACTGCTACTACTACTTCTACTACTACTACTACTACTGCTACTGCTACTACTACTGCTACTACTACTTCTACTACTACTGCTACTGCTACTACTACTGCTACTACTACTTCTACTTCTACTTCTACTACTACTGCTACTGCTACTACTACTGCTACTACTACTGCTACTACTACTTCTACTACTACTGCTACTCCTACTACTACTACTACTACTACTCCTACTGCTACTCCTACTCCTACTGCTACTGCTACTACTACTTCTACTACTACTACTACTACTTCTACTTCTACTACTACTGCTACTACTACTTCTACTTCTACTACTACTGCTACTGCTACTACTACTTCTACTGCTACTACTACTTCTACTACTACTGCTACTGCTACTACTACTGCTACTACTACTTCTACTACTACTGCTACTGCTACTACTACTACTACTGCTACTACTACTACTACTTCTACTACTACTACTACTACTGCTACTGCTACTACTACTGCTACTACTACTACTACTGCTACTACTACTGCTACTACTACTACTGCTACTACTACTACTGCTACTGCTACTGCTACTACTACTGCTACTACTACTGCTACTACTACTTCTACTACTACTACTACTGCTACTACTACTGCTACTACTACTGCTACTACTACTTCTACTACTACTACTACTTCTACTTCTACTACTACTGCTACTACTACTTCTACTTCTACTACTACTGCTACTGCTACTACTACTTCTACTACTACTGCTACTGCTACTACTACTGCTACTACTACTTCTACTACTACTGCTACTGCTACTACTACTTCTACTTCTACTGCTACTGCTACTACTACTTCTACTACTACTGCTACTACTACTTCTACTACTACTGCTACTGCTACTACTACTGCTACTACTACTTCTACTTCTACTACTACTGCTACTGCTACTACTACTGGCAGCCAGGTGCGTGAGGCGGTACGCAACACGGCCCCAATTTACACGTCTTCAAGAATGTGGTAGCAAAGGAGAGCAGTCGTAATGTCGGTCGTGGCTTCCTCGCGGTCGCGTCCTCGCCTGGGACTCTAACAGCAGTCGTTGAAGTCGGCTTTGGAAGTCGGCTGCAGTACAGGTGTGTTTTCCCCCCTTCTGCATCAACAATTCCCCCTCCGCCCCAAGGCCCCACCTGGGTCGCATTGGCGCTGGTCTGTCCGGAGAAGCCGATGATGTTGGGCGGCGCAAACACCTCCCCGTCCAACTGTAACAGACACCGAACAACGGTAACCGACTTGCCCGTACCCGTAGGGCCCACCAGGAGGAAGGGGTACCTGCGCGGAGCGTTTACGTATGTGTATGTATGTACGGAGGAGGAAGGGGGTCAGCCGGCCGATGGAAAGGGGGATGGGCCGCCGAGACCGGCGAAAGAAGGGAAGCGGTTTTTTGTGTGTGCGTTTATATATGTGTGTATGCGTAGTTTACCCTTACATTTCACACGTTCAAACACATACACATGTGACTTTCCGTAACCCATGTTGATGTGGTTCCATTAACACACACATACACACATACACATACACACACGCAAACCCCACTCACTTTCCCGCAATTGCCGTATTTATTAAAAAGGTGACGGCGGCGGTGTCCGCTGTGGGGACCAGAATGGTGCTGTACCGGGCATCGTGGGGGATGGGAGGCGCGGAGGCGGCCAGGGAACTCCAGGGAACCCAAAACCCAGTGGACGTGTCGTACATGTAGTCGTACAGCGTGCCAGCGTCGGGCGGTAGGGCGGCGGGGGAAAGCAGGGGTACGGAAGGTGCGTCGGACAGGCCGTATGTGTGACCTGCAGACGGAGTGAGCGGGGGAGGGGGGACGGGTAAATGTGGGGGGAAGACGGAAGTACGGAAAGGGGTATGGGGCGTACGACATACACTTTGGCAATTAATATTAACTTCTTTACAGGATTACCAGCGTCGTACGTGGGCATATGGGCATATGGGCACTTGCGCGAGTGGATGAGAGGAAACATCCCACCCGCCGGTCCCCGCCTGTCGTACACTGTCGTACCTGACGGCGCCTCCAAGCCCGCCAGCGCCCCTGACAGCGCCCGCCGTACAAAGGAATTCACGAGCCCCCGGCCCTCCTGGGGTTGGCAGGGGGTTTTGAGGGGGGGGGGGGACAAGGGTTAGGAGAGTTAAGGGGGGGGGAAGACGAACCACACACGATTGAAGCTGCTGCCAGGGCAAGAGAGTAGCAAACGTAGAACTGACCGAAAGGCGTCCGTGGCGACCGTGACCTCGGGATGAAGAAGTGAAGAAGATGTCGGAAAGACTACCTACCTAAGCCGCCAGTACTGTCGTAAAGCTGGCATAAAGTTGCTGACCTGGACAAATAGCTGATTTGCTGATACTGAAAGGCTGTCGGTATGCAAGTGCTCCTCCCAACCCCCCAAACTAAAACGCGCGACCGACCCGACCGACCCAACTATCCTAGCCCGGCTAGCCGACCGGCGCCAACGCGATATACCGAAGAAGCTCGAACCACCCTTCGGACTCACCTGGCGGCCAGGCAGCAGAAGCAGCGGGCAGGGGCACATGCGAGGCAGAGAGGTGGGAAAGTTGTGAGTAGCGAGCGATAAAGACAAGAACGCATGAAAATGCCGCTGAAAGAGAGTACGCTGGGATAAGAAGCCCTAAAGAACCTCTATGAAAGCAGAAGAAAACGCAAGGACTTAAAAACAAATGCAAGGGCGGCGCAGGACGACACAGAAGGTGTCGTACGAGATGACCGAATGACGCATTGGACGGGATGACGCATTGGACGACGTGTACGCCGGCAGAACGCAAAGAAGGTAGAAATGGAGAAGTGGGTTGGAAAGAACGCAAACGCGAACGTTCTTTCCAACGAAAAAGAAAGGCCCAAGGGAGGAGAGGGAGTTGGTAGGAAGAGAAGCGCCGAGAAGTGCGCGGGCCGGGGCCACCCGTGGCTCCCGCCAACCCGCGAGCACTAGGGGGGCATGTGCATGCAGCCCCGTAGTGCCTAAGACGTGGGGAGGGAACGTGGGAGAGGACGTCAGGTTTGGGGGTTTGAGGCGGGAGTGGGAGATTGGTAGAGGGAAGTGGAGGGGTTCGGCGTGGAAGGGAGCGGGAAGTGGGTTGGGAGAAGTGGAGGGGTTTGGGGGAGGGAGGGGAAGGTGGGTTGTGGGAAGAGAAGGGATACGGGGGAAGGAGCGGGAGGTGGGGGAGGAGGAAATCCCTTAGGGGGAGGAGGAAATCCCTTGGGTTAGCAGATTTGTGGCGGGCGGGGTAAGGGTCACGGCAGGCGCCTCAGCACACCCCAACATCGCACGTCCCGCACACCCGCATGTCCGTGCAGGTGCTTATGCGGTGTGAGGGAGGATGTACGACAATGGCACAAAGTAGCAGCGGCGGCAGGGGTGGGGCAGTAGGAATAGCCACACCCCTAACCGTCCAACCGCCTTGTACGGAGTCGTTATTACAGTTGTACACCGTTACATACCTGCGTGGCGGCGGTGCATCCTGCCGACCACACAAGAGCCATAAGGCCCACGGCATCCGCCATCGCCATGGTACGACCCTCCTGGCTGCATTTGCGGTACTGCTCGGGCGTGCCTGCCGTACGAAAAAGGTTGTGTCGTACAGAAGATCGAGGTAAGGACAAGCTACGAGCTGTGTTTGTTACCTAGCGCACGGTGTCCTTTCTTATCCACCATGTCTCTCGCGAACTGCCCCGCCCCGCCCCCCCCGCACACACACACACACACACACACACACTCACGTCTCGTCACACTCACATAACATCAGCGGAATGTGGCTGCCCCGCTGTCGCGCGCCCCGTTCCGTCCCCCTCCCCCTCCCCCCCGGCCGCCGTCACCTCTCTAACCCTAACCCCGAAGACTTCCGAAAAGCTGCTTTCCCCCGATCGAGAGCCCTTCCCCCCTCGCCTGCCCCTCTCTCACATAGAGAGAGGGAACCTCAGTCACAACATACACACATACGCACACACAAGCTATTCGATAAGAAATCACAAGCTAACGATTAATAGCACACATGCATACATACATACAAACTCAATCGTGGCCACCAGGAAATTATACACAGACAGGCAGACAAGACAGACAGATAGACATACTGGCAGACAGGCAGACAGACAGACAGACACACACACACGCATGCGCACATTACCTAGTGCCGGCATAAGCAGCGCCGAAACCAGCCTCATCCAACTGGTAGCGAGATTGCCATCCAGAGATGGCGCACATTCCCGTACCTCGCGTCGTACAAATCTATACGACGTCGTACAACACACAATCAGGGGTTTGCGTTCAGTCAAGTGGAGATTCCAAAAAGTGCAATGTACGTATTATATGCGACGAGGGGGTTGCTCCTGCATTTGATTCGGGTACACGCCCCCCACATACTCCATGCCGTATTTATACATGTGCCATGCAAACACACACACACACACACACACACACACACACACACACACACACACACGCGCAACCCCATTCCCCACCCCACCTTATCGTGGGCACCACGAGCCCTTCGAACAGAGCCGCCAGCCTCGCCTTCAAGCCCGACAGCAGCAGCACCTCGCCGCCGCCGCCGCCGCCGCCGCCGCCGCCGCCATAACCCAACGTGCTCGTCGACGCGGCCGCCATAAGCGGCCCCCCACTGGCGGCGGCGCCCGTACTGCTGATCCGGCCGCCGCCGACGACACCGCCGCCGAGCATCAACGACGAGCCCATCCCTAGACCGCTGACGGCGCTGATGCCGCCGCCGCCGCCAAGACCAAGGCCGCTGGCTAAGCTGCTGCCGCCGCCGCCGGCGGTGACGGAGGACGCGGCGGTGGGTACGTTCCCCCAGTGTACGGGCGTGGCCAGCAGCCATGACGCCAGTAGGGGTGCCGTACCCAGCTGGTGCGGCTCCAAATACACCATACCGCAGCGGGAGACGGTGGCGGGGGAGGCGACCGCCAGGTCGCCCACCTACGGTTTCAGAGGTTGGTTTTACGGTTGGTTTTACGGTTGGTTTTACGGTTTTAAGAATGAAACTTAGGGGGATGTCCGTTCAGTAGGCGTGGGGATGAGAGCCCGCAGCAGATACACAGAGCCCCGGCGTGCGGGGAAGGGGGGCAGGACCCGGACAGGGCGGGAGTTTCGCAAAACACATACATACATCCCGCAAATCACACCATCTATTCCACCCCACCATTACCCAACTGAACACTCTCATCAGTTTATTGCATGAAACCAATTTTCTCCTCCCCTTTCCTCTACCTCCCCCCCCCCCACCCCCCCCACACACATACATAAATACAGACACACATACACACACGCAGATAAACCCCCGCACCCCCGCACCCCTTTTTCACGGTCCCCACCTCAAAGATCAGGTTCATGGGCGCGCTCATGGCGATGATCTCTCCGCTGTTGAGACACAGCTTCTTGTTGTCGTCCAGCACCGTGTTCAGGTTCTCGATCCACACCGCGTCCACTGGGCCGTCCAGCACTAGCCACTTGCGGTCCGGAGAGGGGTCGGCGGCG